CCCTGACAGTTAGAACAAGAAGCAATGGGCTTAAACTGGAGCAAGGGAGGTGTAGGTTGGACATTAGGAAAAAGTTCCTAATGTCCAACCTACACCTCCCTTGCTGCAGTTTAAGCCCATTGCTTCTTGTTCTATCTCCAGAAGCCAGGAAGAACAAGTTTTCTCCCTCCTCCTTGTGACACCCTTTTAAATACCTGAAAACCACTTTCATGTCCCTTCTCTGTCTTCTCCTTTCCAAACTAAACAAGCCCAATTCTTTCAGTCTTCCTTCATATTCCTAATGTCCAACCTACACCTCCCTTGCTGCAGTTTAAGCCCATTGCTTCTTGTTCTATCTCCAGAAGCCAGGAAGAACAAGTTTTCTCCCTCCTCCTTGTGACACCCTTTTAAATACCTGAAAACCACTTTCATGTCCCTTCTCTGTCTTCTCCTTTCCAAACTAAACAAGCCCAATTCTTTCAGTCTTCCTTCATAGGTCATGTTCTCTAGCCCTTTAATCATTATTGCTGTTCTTCTCTGGACCTTCCCCATATTCTCTACATCTTTCTTGAAATGTGGTGCCCAGAACTGGACACAATATTCCAACTGAGGCCTAATCAGCGCAGAGTAGAATGGAAGAATGACTTCTCATGTCTTGCTCACAACACACCTGTTAATGCATCCTAGAATCATGTTTGCTTTTTTTGCCACAGCGTCACACTGTTGACTCATATTTAGCTTGTGGTCCACTATAACCCCTAGATCCCTTTCTCCTGTACTCCCTCCTAGACAGTCACTTCCCATTCTGTATGTGGGAAACTGATTGTTCCTTCCTAAGTGGAGCACTTTGGATTTGTCCTTATTAAACTTCATCCTGTTTACCTCAGACCATTTCTCCAATTTGTCCAGATCATTTTGAACCATGACCCTATCCTCCAAAGCAGCTGCAACCCCTCCTAGCCTGGCATCATCTGCAAACTTAATAAGTGATAAAGCGATTGCACCCTTGGTTAACTTCTCCGTTTTCCTGGTATGGATTGGGAGGAGTTAGTTGACCACTTACTCCTAGAAACAAAAGTCACACAGTTATTACAAGGAACTCAGAAGAACGTGGGAAGGCGAGCTCTCTGAATAACACATGCAAATGGGGATATGATTAAATTTGCTGGTGCTGAAAAAGAACTTACTGCTTATCACTGGTATATTTTTTACAGACTGGTCTCCCATGTCTAAAAGTATACTGTCATTTGTGCTTCACCCATTGATGACTGTATTGATATTGTCTTCCATTTGCCTAATTGGAATGATATTTGTGTGTTGCTGGACAAAAAGAATATTTGTTAAATTGCAACCACAAGCTCAAACTGCCTCACAATATATAGCCATGAAACAAGTATATAAGAACAAAAGGGGATCAAAAGGGGGATATGTTAGGATTAAAAGTTTTATCCTTTTTATATTTGTTTTTTAGGTTTAATGATGTAAGCAATGTAGTTCAATGATGTAGCAATAATATAGTAATGTAAGGTAACATATTAATACACATTTAATATTTTATTAAACTTAGTCCTTTCAGTTAAATGCATATTCCTTCATTTTAAAGTTTAGGGAGTTTAGTAAATGGCCTAAGTAGAAAGATAGAGTCTTGGTACTGTGTCTGTGATAATAAGAATAGAGGAATGTTGAAGGCTAAGGCCTTAATTGTTTGATTTACAGTGCCTTTTTGCTTTGCCCAATGCAGATATTGATGTTATCCTCTTCCTTGAGAGTCCTTGTAAGAGATTGTTTGTGTGTGAAAGTGGTATGTATGTGTCGAGATAAAGGTGCAAAAATTATTGCTCAGAACCAGATGGTCAAAGAAGGAGGGGTGAGCGTGGGTAAAAACTAGACTACCTGGTGTCAAAGAACCACCTATAACCATCGATACATAACCCCTACTCACAGGATGAGTGGATTATTGGCTGATTGACAGCCTTAAAGCGGAGCCAGCACCCCTGAAAGACGATTGATTACAGGATGAGCTCTGGAAATGTTTTGGGAACACTGACATTAAAAAGATAACATTCCAGTCACAGGCTGCCACAGCGGAATCCATAGACTTCAACAGAGAAAAGGATTATAAAAGCATTTGCTATTGAATTCTGGGTTTGTCTGCCACACTGTCTCAAGAGGAGTATTGGATTGATCAATCGACAAGGCCCTGCTCCCCCCTGTGCTCAATCTAGCTGCCCACTAGATTGACACAGACTCTGTCTAGACTGGTAACTGTATCATCTGGCAGAACTGTGTATGCATGATGTTGTTTCTGTGTGTGAGTGAATGAAAAGCATATGCAATTGTTGTATTC